CTTTGGTTTAGGATAGTTGTTATATCAGTAACCACCAGGCGGTTCTGGCAAAGCTTATCTTAGTAATTTCCTTTTCTCTGTAGTTGCTAACAAAGCCTAATGTTCTTGAGGTTACTTATTTACATCCCTATTCTTCAGTCCACACTATTCTTCAATCAGCACCATTCTTGAAAGTCCATGGCTATGTTATGAAATTACTTTTAACTGTATTAAAAAATCAGCTGCATTATAGTGTAGCTGAGGTTATCATGTGCATCTTGTTAGAGTTCTGCTAGCATACAGATTGCTGGTGCCTATTTTGTGGTTTTAGTATAAATTGCGTATGCTCTCATTTGCATTCTCTGAGCACATTTCATAATTGATTTCTTTTTTTACTTGAGGTCAAATATAACTTTTTTAATTAATTTATTTATATTTTTTTATGAAAAAACCTCCAACTCATGTTTATGCTGTCAGTTCCATGAAAAAAGAATCTGAAAATAGGCCTTAATTGTGCCTTGAAATCTAATAAACTTTGCCTCTGTGCTAGTAAAGAAAAGGTATTTTAAGGAATGTCCTTCAACAGAATCACACTCTGGAAAAGACCATGTCCAACTATTACCACAGGTCTGCCAAGTCCACCCATAAACCATATAAAATAAATTTTAGTTTAAGAGATACCAGTTTATGATTATGAATGTAATCTTGTTTTTTTATTATTTTTTTCACCTTGTTTATAAGGTTTCAATGACATAAACATATACATTAAGTGCTGATCTGATGCCTTGGCTATTGGGTTTAGGGAGGTAAACTGACAGAGAACTTTTCACTGCATAATAGCGGGAAGTTGTGTTTCCTTAACTAGTTTGCTTTGTCAGGTAAGTGTTGTATCAGCATAAGAATGAAAGAAGTATTGATAATATTTTTTTGTTGGGAGTAGCCTGTTAATAAGGCCAGAAATACTGATTGTGGCCTTCATGAAAGGAACTGTAGCTCAGATGTTCTTAATTTTTTGTCAAAGCAGTCCAGTGATGAATTGAATTTCAGGTGCTTAACTGTTCATTAATTTCAAGGAATTCCTATAGTGCCTGGATATTAATATTTGTATACTGGCTGGGTTCTTCATGCGGAGCTGCCTGTTTCTTCTCCAGTTCACCAAAAAATGCCAACACTAAATTTTGTCAAGTTCTGTCCCTAAGGCAAGGCAAGTACCTTTGTATGAGGGGCCCTGATCCAGGTTATCACTGAGACAACACTGTGGTTTTATGAAATTATTGGTCTTACTAGCAATTAGATCATTGTTAGTGTGCGTAAAGAAATACGAAAGTTTCGTATTTCCATACAGGAAAATTCAGAAATACTTTCAAGATTATGTTAGTGGATGTGAAAAGAAAGAAGAAAACTTAATTGGCCAACACTAGTTAAAAAAAAAAACCCAAATCAAACCCATTTGTGTTCAGAAGTGCTGATGTTAATTTGGTTGATTCCAAAACTTACTTATTTTCATGACTATTTTCATACATGACTTTTTTTCCTTACTGTAAGTCTCCAGGCACAAGAGATTCAGTCTAGTGAGATAAATGCAAAATTTTTATGAAGTCCTAATTGATGATTGTGGGCATGGGTTGGGATTTTTTTTTTTTAATTGTGTTTTTTTTTTGTTTCAGGGTGGGGTTTGGGTTTGGTTTTCTTTTATTGTGGGTGATTAGTTTGGGTTTTGTTCTGTGGGTTTGGGGGATTTGTGTGTTGGTTTTGTGTGGTTTTGAAGAAAATGTGACTGTATGGGAAGGCCTGGCAAAATCTTAGAAAATCTGTGGGGTTGTGGTAGGTTGTGGGTTTGGGTGGGGGTTTGGTTGGGTTGGGTTTATTTAGATGTAAAGAGATTAAAGCTGTAATTAGTGTTTCAGTAACTTGGTTGTGCAAGGTTATATTACATGTTTGTTAATAGGGTCTTTGTGTTTCTTGTGTATCACTTACAAGGAATAGGAATTTATTTTTTTTAAGATATCTTGCATTGTGGTGTCAGAGGCTTCTTCTGATAGTTACATGGGGATTATAAAAAAAAATAGTTAATGTGGAGAATATCTTTGGTCTTTTCTCATCCTTAGTAGCAAAACTTGGAATTTAGGTAATTACCAGAAAGGTGATGTGGTCTTCTATATCAGATCAGGTTCAGCCTGTACAGAACAAGGTGGGTGGTGAAGGGAAAGAATTATTGTCAAGTGCAGTAATCTTTTCTGAACAGTGAAATGTTTGTTTCATGAAAGTACTGAATGGTTTGCTATGTGTGTTTTGTTTTGGTTTTTTTTTTTGTCTAGTCTCAAGATGGCAGAGTTATTTATGGAATGTGAAGAAGAGGAGCTAGAACCATGGCAAAAGAGAGTGAAAGAAGTGGAAGAGGATGATGATGATGATGATGAGCCAATCTTTGTTGGGGAAATCTCAAGCTCGAAGCCAGCTAGTACATGTAAGATGACATTTTCCATAATTTAAAATAGGTACTTCTGTGTGTAAAAACTTTAAACTTGATTTTAAAATAGAGATTAATTTCCCAACCCCCCCAACAGTAATACTTAAGAAATTCTACATTTTAAAGCTGTTTGGTGGGTCAGTGTCATACTGAAAACTTCTTAAGAAATTCTATTCTAAAATCTAGGTTGTATGCAGCTCTGTCTACCTTTAAACTTCAGTCTCCACAGTTAAGGACATTTGAAAGTTTTAGCATTAGCAATTTGGTTAGCAATCAAATATGAAACCATGCATGCAATTGCTCTCAATATAGTTGATATTTAGTTACATACTTGAAAGTGTCTCCCTGCTATAGGAATGCGTGTGAATTTAAGTATCTGTTTTTTCTCCACTCCACATTTCATGTGTTGGTGGACATCATTCTGACAAAACCAAGGTAACTGTCTTCAAGTGTCTATAATAAAAGCATGATCAGGAAAAGTGATTAATGTGAAAATGGTAGAAGCCTCTCTGTTAAGAGAGAGATTTTCATTAATAATAACAAATTCATCCCTCTAAAGCAAAAAGTTTTTTTTTTCATCAAATTCTATAGTTTTCTCCTAATGCAGCCAGTGCAGGGAGTGAGGTTAGGTGGTTGTGATGACAGCAGATGTGTCAGAATTCTATGATAGTCCTGTGCTTGTTCAGGTAAGTAAAGGAGAACATCACTTTCATTTCTTGAATTTTAGTAATGAAACTTCTTGTTTTCTGTGTGCAACCATCTTGCAGTCATTTGTCATGAGGTGTGACCTAAGGTTTCTCTAGCTATTGAATACTCAGGACATTGCCTGGTGAGGTTACTGCTTTCAGTTTTGCCTCATCTCTTTATCCAAGATTTCCATAGTTGTTTTCTTAAGGTGTATATTTTGCAGTGAAGAATCTCAAGACAAAATGTTAAACTAAGCTTTCTGTTATATTCTAATGCATGGACTTCAGAACTGTTGTTAGCTGTTCAGTCAGTTTAGTTCGTGATACTTCCATCTTGCATCTGAACTCTATTTTGCTTTGTTACTACACACTGGGATAGTAAGTCTAATGCTTCTTGCGCTAGCTTAAGTGAATAATTGTGCTTTAAGGAAAGACTGAAGCTGATGTTAAAGTTCTCTCACCAGAAAATGGTTCCTATGTTTCTTAATATTTTAAAAATATTCTAGAGCCTCTTGAAAATTTGAGGAATGTTTTAAAATTGCTCTAAGAAGTTTTCTGCAGTTACAAACTTCTAGAAGGACTGAAAAATAACCTTTATTACTGTTTTCTGGAAGGTCCAGAGACCTCTGGATTGCTGCTGGTACTTGCCAGTAACTCATAACATAGAACAACTGTGAAAGCACAAGGTGTACACTGGAACTACAAATATGCCAAGTTTCATTGCAGCTGTTGTAGTCTCAAGAATTTTTTGTAGTCATAAAGGATAGAAGTAGCTCAGATTAGAACATATAATTTTAATAGATTTAGCAACCTCAAGAACTTCGGTAAAAGATACTTAAAATGTATGCATCGTATTCTAGTGCTGTCCATGCTCAGTCCTGACACAAGTAAAATCGCTTATGGTGTAACTTTTTACTTTATCTCTTTTCCTTCCCTTTCCTCAACTTTTCTGTTTGTAATCTTCACTATCAAAAACAGCTATGGAAGAATGACCTCAGTTCTTCTCTGGCTTGTAAGTAGTACTACCTGGCAGTAGTCAGGCTTCAGTTTATTGTTGGTGATAGGCAAGAGACAGTGAACTCAACTTTTCTTATCACTGTTGCGTAGTTTTTCCCTGGGAAATTCCTGCCTGATGAGATGAAAAAGGTAGATGACAAAGGGTTCTGAATTTTCTGGAAGGTATACTTTCTGCAGTACATAGCATACTATTTTTTTTTTAACTTTTTCCTGACAATGCAGTTATTAGTTCTTATATAGACTGGTGTGGAAAACTTCAAGTAGTGGTTAAAAACTTAACGTTGACCTGCTGGTGCAGTGTCATGTACAATAAAGTGCTTCTGATGTACTGAAGGATTAGTTTGACTAGGGTGAAAAGTAATATACACTTTGTTCCATTTACCATTTCCTGCAACTATTCCTTTTTCCTACAGTTACTGCTCATATTTCTTGCTTCCTTTTCATGATACAAACCTGTAATTTGTTGCTACTTTAAAATGTTGTTCTGTTTCTTATACTTCAGTGCTCTTTTACCTACACAGGACAAATAACGCTTTGATGGGGAAGGGAACAGGTCGCATCAAGGCTGTGATGAATCAGTTGAGTCATGTAAATCTAGTTTATAATTCCAAATCACGAGTTATTGACATTTTCTGTTTAAAAACAGTAAAATCTACCTTTGCATTTTAGGATGTCTGTTTTTTGTGCATCAGATTGTCTGAAGCTGAATACACTTCATGAGACAAACTTCAGAACAGAGGGTTTGGTTTTTTTTGTAGGTAGATCAAGTTTCATTTCACTCTGGAATTCAAATGTGAGGTATAGACTTATTAAGAAGCACGAAGAAGCTAAATACCAACTTAAGATAATTCTTGCTCATAGTGTTGTGATGAAGTAAAAATAGTATTACTGTTACAGAATGAGATTTTGTCATAAGTTAGGAAATGTAAACCTGTTTGGGTCTGTTTGCAGCTGCTTTTTTATTAATATGATCTAAATGCAGGTGACAGGTTGAAAGCTGTGATTTTCTGAGCTCTACTGCTATTAGTTTGATTCATCAAACTCAGTAGTATATACTAATGAGCCATTGCTGCTGGAAACAGTCTTAAGGTTGTTAAATGCAATGTGTAGATACTCTTTATTGTTTGAGATATGACCCTGGCTTGAGAAGGAACTTTAAACCTTGTTGGTTAGATACTGGAGGATCAGTCTAATTTCGTATGCATATTTTCACATGTCAGAGCAAGTAACTCAACTGCAATAGTAACAAAACTGAGAATCTGGAGTAGAAAAATACTTGGATTTGATGAATAATTTTGTAACTTTCTGAAATGATCAGAAACCCCAGACTAAGATGTAAAAAGTTGGGGAATGTTGGTGGCATTAGCTAGTGAGTAAACATCAAATCTAAGAAGTTACATGTGTTTCCTGTGAGCTAGAACTCTGGTCATAGATTACCACGTAGGATGTTGAAGAAAATCAGTCCTGTAATGCAGTTTCAATACTACAACTACTTTGGTTGCTGGTCTGTTGATCTGTCTTTCACACTGGAAAATGGAGTTCGTGAAGTCTATAACCAAGTTTGTAAGTGCTGCATTTTCCTGTAATGCAGAAGCAAATGGTTACTGGTTGAGACAAAATGCTTCCTTTAGTGTAGAGCAGTACAGTATTCGGGAACTTATTATATATATGAGAAATATAAATAAATAAATGCATTATAATTGCCACAGCTAAATATCTATTAAATGTTCTTCTTTGTTTGCAGTTGTATTTGTGTGTTAATTTATTTCTGAGAAAACAAAAACTGAGATTCTTAGGTGAACTAGCTTAACTTGAGGGGAGAATTCATCTTAATTTGTACAAATTGCATTTTGTTTTGCCAGGTATTTATTTAAGAAATAATCTTCTAATTTATTAGTCAAATCCTAATTGGCTTACTTAGTGGATATGAATGCTACTTTTATTTTGAAAAGCAATTAAGCTATTAATTTAACTGCAATTAAGATAATGTAACTTTTGACAGATATATTGAACAGAGTCAACTTCAGCTCATCACGAAGGGGGATACAGAATGGTGCACCCAGTAGAGGTACTTTATTGTCCTAATACGGTAATTTAAAAAAAAAGCACAACGCTTGTGAAACATCTGACTGCAAAATTATAGAAAGATAACTTTGGAATCCTTTGCAACAGGTACAGTTACTACATTCAAGTCTGACAGTCACCATTATGCGCCATCTGCCTCCAGTCCCAGTGCCATGCCTGTTTCATCCGTCTTTCAGTCTGTATCCAGACCTACAACTAGCTCTGTAGCAGTGCAGCCATTGTCTATACCAGTGAATGTTTCAGGAACTTCACAAACACCGCAGAGACCAGTCACTGGATGTTTATCAACACAGCAGATGCCTGGATCAAGTTCGGGAATATCACAGCCTGTTAGCAGACCTGTAACTGTTCCAGTGACAACACAGCCAGTATCGAGAAATATCACGGTTCCTGTAGTGGCTCAACCTGTATCCAGGCCAGTGACTACTCTAACAGCAGAGCCTGTAGTACTCGATCAGGTAACTTTTTATTACCTTGAACTATCAAAGACTCGGGTTCAATTACTTTTGAATAAATTAATAAGCAGCATACTGAGCCAGTCTGGTAATCTGAAGACCTGTACTAGATTATAGACTAGCATTATGTAAACTGTAAAGATTCTAGGACTACAACCTTGCACTGGTGAATTAAAATATATATTTAAATATACTGATTTGCAAGACGCAAAGAATAGTAGCCTTAGTATCAGTGGAATTTCACTAAATGAAAATCTTACGCATAAGAGGAATAAGTACTGTTTAGGTTATGTTGTGTGGAGAAATAATAGAAATCCACATTCTCTAAATTTTGCAGGGCTTTTTTTTTGTTCAGAGATACATCCTCCGTATTGATAAGTTTATTTCATTTTTAAATAGCTTGCATTTGATGTTTAAAGTAACATTGTGCTTCCACCTGATTTTCAGAGACCATCTCTTGGGATTTTTACTTCCTAAGAGAATACTATAGTGGTAGCTCCTTAAGTGTTTTTGCTTTGGGTTTCACTTAGCACTTGTAGTGAAACAATAGTATGGTAAGGAGGGCTTAAGTAACCAAAAGTTGCAGGGTCAGTAGGTGAAACAATTTGGCAACATAATTGTTCTGTTTGAAAAGCCCAAGGGAATGATGCACCTAGTTTATATCATAGATCTTCCTGGATTGCTACAGAACCTCAGAATGGTAACTTCAGGGAGTCAAGTTAAATGCTTGTTTTATTGCCTTGGCTGTTGGACATTTGTGGCAGAGAAAGAATGAAAATTAAAAATTGCATACTTGGAGGAGATAAACTGATACCATTATTGAAAACAATTTAAGATTAAACTGTTCAGACAGTGTGCCTATAATATTAACTACTACTGTCAGGTTTAAATGAAGCCTGAAGGTAGGTTCCATATCTACCATCCATGCAAATATACGCACCTGTGTTTGTCTCAGCTGTTAGTCTTTTGGTATAAATAAAAATCATGTGGTTTAATGTATTCTGCATTTGTTGGACAGGGCAATCAGTCTGAGGATAGTTCATAAGGCCATTAAGGCATGAGAATTGGAGGTTCTTCTCAAGGCTTGTGGCTAAATCATTGCCCATGGGTGGCTGTATTTTAAGAAAAACAATGTAAAGTAATCATTGCCCATCAACTCAGTAGCTGAATCTCTGGCCAGCTCATTAGGAAAGAGCTCATGGTTTCCAATTTTGAGTCTTGAGCAGCTGATTGATAGTTAGCAGAGAGAAATTATGGACATATCTACTGAGGCGGGTTAGCTAAATCAGTGCCTAAAAGTGATATAGGCAAAAGTCCAGATATCAGTAGGATGTTTAGGTTGCCTCTGGAGTTCTCTTAAATCTGTCTTTATACAGCAGGACAGATTGATATAGAAAGAACTGCTACTTCACATGAGGTATACACGTTTCAAGCCTGAATTTTATTTTTATAAATGTTTACTTAGGACATAGTATATTTTATAAAATCCTTCAAAGGAGTGTTAGGATGTCTTGCAGAATCTTTACTGCAAGAGAAAATTCACTCCTTCACTTCCCTCACACATCCATGCTTATGTTTTTGTTCTAATAGATGAAGCTGCTGGTGGCTTCTATGTTGTTGTTATTAGAGAACCTTAGAGTAAACAGACCTAGGAAAGCTGAACTTCTCCAAAAGGTATATGTAAGCTGAACATAGCTCATCAAGACAGTGATTTGCTTTAAAGACACTATGCACACAGCACTTGTAAGAGTTTTCTCATTCACTGAGTTTACTTTCAACAGGAATGTCACAGATGAGACTTAAGTTTTATAGTCTTACTTTGCCAAAATCTGCAGTTTCTTTCTTGGCAGAGTAGAGAAACATCTATTTGAAGAAACAGGATTTTCAAGGTACATGGCATGGAAAAAGAATATTTTGTTTGTTTGTTTGTTTTTAGGAGGTACTATAATTCAGCTTCTTGGGCAAGATTCCGTGATTATTATATTTTTTTTTAAAAATCACTTGTCCCACATTGCCATTTGCTGTTAGAATCTTGGAATAGAATAGTTAGGGTTGGAAAGGACCTTAAGATAATCTAGTTCCAACCCCCCTGCATGGGCCAGGGACACCTCACACTAAACCGTGTCACCTAAGGCTCTGTTCAACCTGGCCTTGAATACTATCAGGGATGGAGCATTCACAACTTCCCTGGGCAATCTATTCCAGTGCCTCACCACCCTAACAGTAAAGAACTTCTTCCTTGTATCCAGTTTAAACTTCCCCTGTTTAAGTTTTAACCTGTTTACCCCTTGTCCTATCACTACAGTACCTAGTGATGAGTCCTCTCCGGCATCCCTATAGGCCCCCTTCAGATACCGGAATGCTGCTACGAGGTCTCCACACAGCCTTCTCTTCTCCAGGCTGAGCAGCCCCAACTTTCTCAGCCTACCTTCATACGGGAGGTGCTCCAGTCCCCTGATCATTCTCATGGCCCTCCTCTGCACTTGTTCCAACAGTTCCATGTCCTTTTTATGTTGAGGACACCAGAACTGCACACAATATTCCAGGTGAGGTCTCACGAGAGCAGAGTAGAGGGGCAGGATCACCTCCTTTGACCTGCTGGTCACGCTCCTTTTGATGCAGCCCAGGATACGGTTGGCTTTCTGGGCTTCAAGCGCACACTGCCGGCTCATGTTCATTTTCTCATTGACCAACACCCCCAAGCCCTTCTTTGCAGGGCTGCTCTGAATCACTTCCCTGTCCAACCTGTAGCTGTGTCTGGGATTGCTCCAACCCAGGTGTAGGACCTTGCACTTGGCATAGTTAAACTTCTTAAGGCTGGCATCAGCCCAGCTCACAAGCATGTCGAGGTCCCTCTGGATGGCATTCCTTCCCTCCAGCGTATCAACCGAACCACACAGCTTGGTGTCATTGGCAAACTCGCTGAGGGCGCACTCAATCCCACTGTCCATGTCAGCGATGAAGATGTTGAACAAGATCGGTCCCAACACCGATCCCTGAGGGACACCACTCGTAACTGGTCTCCAGCTGGACATTGAGCCATTGACCACAACTCTTTGTGTGCGGCCATCCAGCCAGTTCTTTATTCACAGAGTGATCCACCTGTCAAACTGATGTCTCTCCAATTTAGAGACAAGGATGTCATGCGGGACAGTGTCAAATGCTTTGCACAAGTCCAGGTAGATGACGTCAACTGCTTTACTGCTGTTCTTAGTGTCATATGTATCCTACCTATATTTTTTTTCTTGTTCTTGGTTTGAATTCTTCATGCACCTTGGGCTTTTTGTGATGTTTTTGTTCACACTTTTTCTGTTTCTTCCTGACTTGATTCTTCCAAAAGGGCAAGAATTTCAAATAATTTTTTCTGGGCAGTGTTTGGCATTTGGATCTTCAGCTTCCAGATATTGAAACTTATCAGAGAAAGTAAAGTATTGTGACTGTGAGGTATGACTGCGCACTGTGGCAGGACACCTTTTTAGCTGAACATCCTCTAGAGTGCCTTTGCATTCCTAATATGCTGCAGTATTTCTTAATCTTAGGATATGACAGTGTTGTTTGTGGGAACTGATTGCTTTTGATTGCAAACTGCTTTGCAACACATTTCCTCAATTTCATAACATGTAGATCTATAATATATCATTTGTTAATGTTTGATATTCCAGTTTTGTCATTGAAAATACCCATTTCCAGTCACAGGATTGATTCACTGACTTACAATGAAAGACTAGTTTTTGTGTTCTTCTTACTGCACTATGTTAATGCAGTTCCAGAAATTCAATTTGGCTTCAGTTGTACTGTTCACAACAATTCTGATTCAGTCAGAGGTAGTGCTGGTGTATATGATGGCACGTATACATATACAGCATATATGTATGTTGTATATGATCCTCTTTAAGAAAAATTTGTTCTTAGGGGTAAAGGTTTTCTGTTTTAGCAATCACAATGCTCTCCCAATAAGCCCCAGCCAATTTTGTCTGTATCTTTCCTCTACTTAATAGCAAGTTTTGTCAGTCTGAGCGTAATTCAGGTTCCAGTTGCTACTAGATAATTTGGGGACAGCAGAGATCCCACACCATACATGGTAATTTCTCTGTGTGGATTTGGTTATCGGTTACTACATTGGTTTCCACAGTCAGGACATAGATGATGTGCAGTATGAACTTGGTGTTTTCACTAGTCACTTGGAAGACTAAGAGTGGTGGTGGATTGTTTTTCTTAACTTGAGCCTTAGGATGTTGATTTATAATGATGTTGGGGTTTGTTTTTCTGCATTAGAGAACACCTGTATGTTAGTTTGATTTTGTATCTTTCATCGATGTGGTAAATGTTTTTCTTTAAAATGTTTTTGCTTTCTAAAGCATGGGAAGATATTGGGGGGTGGTTGTAAGTAAAATGATAGAGCCAGATTGCATGAAAAGAATTATAAACAGACAAGGACATTTTGAAAGTGACAAGACTTCAAATTTCCAGGTTGTCTGCTTTTACTTTTTTCCTTGCCAGGTATTTTGGATATATTCTAGGGAGACACACACATGCTTTCAAAATACCCAGGCTGTTATTTTGAAGAAAGTTAAAATGTTAGCAGCGCATGAAAATAAATCAACCACAGAGTAATGTGAGAAGCAAGAGTTTGCATGTGCCTATTGTATTGGTCTGAGCGTGCCCTCAGCGGCCAGTAGCATTAGTTGCCCTTGAAGTAGGGTTTAGCTGAAGCTGCTTGGTTTGTAACTTGTTGCACTAGTTAGTCTGAAACCATTGTGGCTACAATAACACCTGGTGTTTCCTGACTGCAACTCAAGTGTTACTTCTAACAGATTAGAGCAGAGAAATTGAGTAACTGTTTCCACAACTACTTTAGAAAGTTTGTTTAGTTTGGTTAGGTTGGATGAGGTCACTCCCCAAAAGAGAGAATGAATCTTCATTATCATTAAGGTTCTTCAGGTTCTTCATTTAAGAGATGTACGACAAAAAGGCAGGATGTCAAGAGGCGGCATCCTTTTTGTTCAAATATTTTCTCATACTTAGGAGTCCTGAAATAGCCTATCATACCTGTATATTTGCTTGTGCACCTAAATTGTGACAACTTCTAACACACAGATGTTTTCAAATAAGTAGCACAATTGTGAATAGGAAGTATTTTTTGAGATTGATCTTTACAGCAGGAAGTATTTTGGCCTTTGTCTCATGGATACACTGATGACAAAGTCTGTGTATGTGTCTTGGGTGATTATTTTGTTTTTCTGAGGAAAATGGAGCTTTTTCTGTCAAATTTTTTGTTTCACAGTAGAGCTTGATGAAGTGTAAGCAACTGAATTATTTCAGAGTAGAAAGATCAAGTTGTCAGTATTTTGGCATTCATACCTTAACATTGAAATTAATCCTAACTCTATTGTAAGGTTTTTCTAGTTCCTTATTACTATTGCTGAAAATATTTCATGTTTCAGGTTGATTGTGTTAGGATATATGGCTTACTGAGATGTGAACAGTATTGATGAACTTTGGTAAGAGTATTTCTCCTACCTTTCCCCAAACCTTGAAAAGTGTAAAGAGAACAAAATTTCATTATTTTCCCCTCCCAATATTACCTATTTGGTGATCAGTGAAGGCGTTTAACTTTAACAGCTTCCAGTGTTGGAGCCAAGAAATGTGGACTGTTTATGAGTTATTAAAGGGCAAACCTTTTAAACTGAATGGTAAGAGAATACCTGTACTTGGAGGTGCACAAAGTTTAATATAAGAAGGCACTAAGTAACATGAACCAACTTTGAGCTTAGCTGTGTGCTTTCAAAAGAGGTTTTGATTATATTATTTACAGATGTCTCTATGAAATTACATAAAAGAAAAAACCTTTAATAATATTGTTTATGATTTCCATTCCCAGTCAATATCCTATAGATACTTTTACTTCAGTTAAAGCTTGACCGCTTAGTAGAATTTGACTTACTTAATATCATCTTGCTTTGAGAAGCTTCTACTTGCTGCAAGTTTATACGAATTTTGAATTGTGTTTTCTGATCTTTTAAGTTGCACCTAGCAGTTACACAAGAGTAACACACAAATGCCTGAGTTTTGGTTGAAGGAAGAAAGTATTATGAGGTTTTTTTTGAAAAACAAGTGTAATTGGAATATCATCAGACTTTCCAACAAAAGCAGTTATGGTTAGCAATTCAAACAGGTTTAGTAATACTTCATAAGATGGACTTTCCCAGGTCTTATGATTGTTTTTACTATTCTGATACAAGCTATGAATAAATTAACAAGCACTGATGAGAGTTGCAAACTTATTAAAATGTCAAAAGAAACTTATTTTGGGGAGGTTGTAATTAACTTGATTTACAGCTGAATACTTTTAAACAATCATATGTTTTTAAAATAAACCCTTTGAAGCCTGCAAGTAAAAAAATGTTAAACCTAAAATTTCTTTTCCCTTTTGAAAAATCTCTTATTAGGATTATAGTATGGATTCTCCACCAGCTGCACCAGATAATACATCTGGTATACTGTTTGGTGTGAGAGAGAACTCGGGAGTCCCACAGTACCAGACTGGGCCAGCAGTGAATGTAACAGGTGGGTATGACTGTAGTAGTGGATATGAGAAAGAAACAGCCTGATGTCATTTAACAGGAGTGCAGATGTTTGGGTTTTTAATAGGATTTCTAGAACATAGTCTAGTTACTTTATTCTTCCCCTGTACATAAGACTGTATAATATTAAACAAAATAAACTTTGGACCCTTGTGTTGTCAGACTTTGCTTTTCAGTGCATTAGACTGACTGTAATAGCAACTGATGTCTTATGCTCATTTAGATAGAAAAAAAATATTGCTGGATCTACTGTATTTTTTTTAGACTGATAAAGGATCATTTTCAGTATATCCAGCACTCTTTGACTAGCATGAATAAGAATGATTTTTAGCACAAGAGGGTCTGTCAACAGTGCGAGAAGAACTTTGAGTTTGCTTAGTGGATTCCCTTCAGTGATGGATGATGGTCTTGACGTCTTGACTGCTATGTGTAGAAGCTGGAGCAGATGAGATCAAAAGAATCCTGCCGGAAAAGGTGGGGAAGGGAAAGAGTACATAGTTTGATAATACTGTTTGGTTTTGGGTCGGTTTTTGGTTGTTGTTTTTTTCTCTTCCAACTAGCAAAATTGTGCTTCAGCAGAGACTATTTAACCTACTTGAAAACAAACCAAAAAGCACCATTTTTTGTGTTACAGCAGGTGAAGTAGATATGAAACATGCAGTGTACTCAATCATAAACAGGCTATAGCTTGGGACTTCCCTTTTCTTTTATGAAGGATTGTACTTTTGTAATAATGAACCAGAATCCTGTCAGTTTGTAAGTTACAGATGACAGTTGTTTCTGGTTCTTCTATGAGGTAACAGGTTATGTACACTGAATGACCTAACTCGTTATACTAACAAGTTAGGTAGAACAGAGTGGTTACTAATTTATTCTTCTTGATGTGGTCATTCTGCATCTCTTTAGATATTTATCAAAGAAGGTGTGATAGTGTATTTCCTTGCATGTGTCCCACTATTCTGTCATCTTATTCTTGTCTTGTTGGGTTTCATAACTTTTTGTTAAGTAAGCAAAGATCTTATTTCTTGGCAAATGCTCAGTATTCCATCCATTGTTCTCTAAAGAATAAAGTTTTTTAATTCTTTGTTGATTGTTTGTTAGTTTAGGAGACCTGCTTGTATATTTAAAGCTTATTTGTGTTAGTCTCTTTTCAAGGAAAAATTAAATACTTAAAAGCATCCAGGATTATGATTCAAAACCTGTTAAATATATCATATTTAGTCTCTATTTCTGGAAGATGACAATAGGTTTTAGAAATTTAAAGGTTTAAAGATGTGGGTTGAAACACGAATATCTTTGTCACAGAAGGCAAACTTAGGATACATTTCACTTTACAACAAGGAGCGTCTGTGTATTTTATGGTTTGGCCTGTATGGTGAGATCACTTAAGATGTCTGTCTTCTTGTTGATTGTATGTCCCTATGTTGATAGGATGTCCCAATGCCTACTTGCCTGCTGGCGCTATGGTTCCTTTTAGTTCACATGGAGCACTGTGAGCAAAAGACATTCTGGAATATGGTATTTAAAAGCAGAATCCTTTTAGGAACTGGCCTGTGGTATGGAGGACAGTTGAACATCTATACATGGATCATCAAAGATTGATTTTTTTTTTTTTTGGCTTAAGATAGCATAAATATTAATTTCTGAGGTCTAAGCAGGGAAAGGACAAGCTGCTAATAGACAGCAACCAGTCATTTTATTATTTTGCTAAATAGGTGGTGTTGTTAACTTAAACAGCCTTGGTAACCAACAGCAGGTTGGATGGCCACTGGGGATGTACATAAAACTGTAACTTGTTTTCTGAGAATATTTTGAGATCATTCTTCCATTAACTTTACCCACTTGGACAAACCAGAAAATGTCATAACGAATAGAAATGTTTTTTGTATTTAGGAGTTGACTGGGCTGTACACATGTATTCATAGCATTACATTAATGGTAGATGTTCGTGAGGGATTGTGCACCAGAGGCCTGAAACAGTTTGGTTTTCATACCCCAATTCTGTTAATTTGATCTGTTACCACAATATACTTGATGCTTTTATTGTAGGTTACCACTTCTATGTCTTTTGCCATTGCTCATAAAATCAGGCCCAGCCAGCACAGATGCACCCAATAGTGTTAAGGATTTTACAGCAGTGTTGTAATGTGCGTTGAGAAACCTTTTGGCTTGCTGATACAGCATCCAGTATACTTTACTCCTTGCAATCGTTTTAGATATTGTACACAATAATACTGTGTGTCTGAGAATAGCCAACTGTTTTGTAATAGGTACAAAACATTGTCAGAAGTACTCACTAATAGCATGAAGTGAAGGTAATAGACTCCTGAGCAGCCTGAAAACTAAACAAATTGTTTGGCTGCTGCTTTTCTCAGCTGTCTTGAGTACCTGGAGTCTCTGACAGTTGAAGCTGCGTGTAATGCTGGGTAGAGTATTGGACAAACTAGTCTGGAACACGGGTGATCTACACAGCAGCTGTGTATACACCGTAGCTGAGAGAGGCACTTTGAAAAAAAGGAATCAGTCTGATTTATACTAACTAGATACTAAATAATATTTGGAATACGTTTGATTATTTTTCAGAGTAGGCTTAATTTTTTTTTTCCCAATGAACAAAAAACAATTCAAATACAAACCTATGTATATTCTGAAAGGGAGAATTTATTAGATCAGAGTTGTATAAGCTGAGTTAAGAATGTTCACCTTTATAAATACCTTTATAAATACATGAAATAGTGTTCAGGCTTTAATTGAAATTATTACCAAATTTGTTGCCATGTAAAAATAGTCTTCTTCCAAGTCAGGTTTTCTACAGTAAAAACAATCCTTTTTGTTTTTGTAAAACCAGCCAGACCTCCTGTGTTATCCCTGGCCATCATTACACAACTACACTTAATTAAATGTATAGCAGAAGTGCCTGATGGCCTGGTGCTTGAATAGTCTCTTGATACAGAAGAATGCTAGTCATATACCAGCTCTGTAGAAGCCTTTGTTGATCAAGACACATATGTTAAGGTAACCACCTCATATACCTAGTGGTGCAAGTGTAAGTAAATTAAAAAACCCTAGGAACAAATAGTATCTAATGAATGACCTGTTTAGTTTGTGAATGTGTTAATTACCTTAGCCAAATAATGCCTACAGTGAGACATTGAGCTTAATGTGTTAATATATGTTAGAAAGAAGGAAAGGTGTGCTACAATGGAAAATGTTAGGATGATTAAATACATATATAACAAGTGAATTATGTTTCCTGTATGAGGGGTATAGTGTAGTAAAATCTCTCCAAAATGGTCAAATATGCACATTGCCTGCTGGGAGTCTTTGCCCCTGTGGGTTGAATGGGAGACTATCCAGACTGTTTGCTAGGTATAGATATTCACCATGGAGTAAACGCATCTTGGGGGTGGGAATGGTTTTGTTTCTTCTCAAAAGGTTGAATAATTGTGTGACACAAGTTACCTTTCCTTGGTGAAGATGACTTTCTAACTCAGTTTCTTATTACACCCAGAGAAATTGTTGGAGCAGCTAGATTGTTGCAAGGGCCAATATTCAAGAATGTTCTTAGTTCAAATCATTGTGTCTGAACTGAAGTCTGGTCCTTGTCATTGCTTATGATAGTCTTAATGCTATTTGCAGTCTGTGATTCTGACAGACTTACAAGGCCTGTGCTGGCACTTCAGACTTCTTGGTGTATAGCTCTGCTTTTTCACGTCTATTTGAGGACTGATCTCTCTATTGATACTACATCATCAAGGGCAATCTTACAGTGACAGACATGAGTTTCAGGACAAGATGGAGCCAAGGTTTGGTGGGCTTGTTAATCGGGCACTGAACCTATGATTTCAGAGTTATTTAGAGGTTTTCTTTTGTTTAGAAGGAATACTGCAAAATACTCTTCTTGCAGAAAGGAGCAAATAGCTGTGCTGTGATTGGTCATTAGGAGTTATGACACTTTTAATTCTGCATACAACCTGAAGTCTCAAATGTTTTACAGAGTTACATAATAAACTAAACCAGCATTAGCATAGAACCAGGAGAGAGGATAGATGTTTCTCATTAGAAGGGCAGAGGTTGTTTCCAAACAGTGGGCATTGCGGAAACCAGCTGTTTAGCTTAATTTCATTACTGTGAACTCACCCTGTCTCAGGGTAGTGTGGGTCAAGATGTGAAAAGTAGGCCAAATGAACTCAGCTGGGCATAATATGATTTACTATGTTTCAGCGATGGGTTTGTATCTCTTTGTGTTTACCCTTTCCTTCTCCACTGGCTTTTGAATGTTTAGTCTGCATTGGATATAATTTTCTTCTGTATGGTTTATTATTTAGGGAGATCTTAACTGCTTTATGTGCACTTGCCCATCTTTTAAAGTGTAGGCATCACTGCTGTGTTTGTAATATACTATGGAAAAAAACCCGAGGTTCTTTAATTTAAACCACTGTAGTTCTGAATGAGCGTTTTGTATTTAAGTGTCTTGCTACTTCTGAAGGCAGTAGAGTATCTCCAAAAAAGGCCAAGCCTAATGAGGTTGGTGCTGGAAGCCATTCAGCTGTTTCACCTACAGTTAACTCTACAACAGTAACACCATCACAAAATGTATCTTTAAAAAGTAGGGTAGTTAAATGGTGTAGCTGTCAGTCCATGCATTTGTTGCATGGAAAAAAGTAGCACTCATAATGTTTAAGTTGGTTGGTATTATTAATGCTAGTAAGGCAATGTAAATGAGTAACTGTTCTTTTTCCTTAAAATAAGAAAAACCTTTCTATGCAAAGGTTTACATACCTTTACAAGTTAATACACCCTAGGTTATTATTTGTTCAGATTTTAAACCTTTGTTGTTTCAGTTGTTTGAGTTCTGTAAAAGCAGTGTCTTATTTGTTCAGCAGCTGTGAAGGCAGATGATCAGAATAAATGCCCCTGATGTCATACCCTTAAACCAGATTTTCTGCATCAAATAACTGAATAGAGAGTTGAAGTTTAAAATACAACCAACCAGAAGATCAAGATTGAAATAATTCTGTGACTGCTGAATTTATCAACCAGTTCTGATAAAAGGAAGAGAAATCATTGTAGCAGTGCCAGGCAAGGCAGCAAGGACTTGGATTGTAGAATCTCCATTTTAGGAGATATTCAGAAGCTCACTGGATGTGGCTCTGAGCATCCCAAAGGAAGCTGGACTTTGAGAGGTCGGACAAAAGCACCTCCATAGGTGTAATCTAAATTACACCTGTAAGTCTGTACTTTGACTATTGCATTTTGCAGTTCCTCCCCTTCTTTTGCAGCTGTGTTTTTGATACAGTTTAAAGTAGTGGGAAGGAAGGAGACATTTAAGTTTCAAAGAGAGTATGTTCTTTGAAAGACCTTTTCCTCCCTACAAGAAGAGAGGTAGTCTAGCTGTTGCAGCATATTAATAATTAGGTACAATTTCTTCCAGAGCTAAAAGGTGCTTTCCAGCTGGTTGTAGTAAACAAAGTTTTATCCTTGACTTCGAGAGATTTCCAGCTGCATATTCTATCCTATAATGTTAAAATGAGGCACTACCTGGGATTCTGTTGTTGGGAATAATTTAATATTTGGGGGTTTTTGCCTGTTTGCAGCTGGTTTATTATCAGACCCTTCCCCAGCCACCAGAAGGAAGTGGCTACAATATGGAATATTGCAGAAAAAATATTTTCTTCCATTCTGTTGGGTAAAACACATAATGTGCTGCAGTCTAAAATATACAAAAGGTAACTAGAGGATCTTCCTAAATGCTGTGACAAAGTTAGTCTCTAAGCCATTCCATGCTAGCATAGCAATTTCTAATCTGTTGCAGAATGCAGCACTAAAGTTCTACAGAGCACAATCTTGCTGCAGAACCTGCTTTCTTCAGCTCGCTTCCACTTAGCTGTGATGCGTCCAAGTGTTTAACCAACAGTGATAGCAAGAGTTTGAAGCACTGCTTTTTAGTGCATTTCTTGCATGGCCAGCCATATATGTGATGGACTTTGTGCTTAACTATGATTCTTGGCAATACTGTTAACTTCACAGAAGAATACTGTTTCATCCATCTCTATGTTATGGAGTATGCAAGACTACTTTTGTGAAAAAATGTGTAATGCATGGTCATCTCTTAACTTATGCGTATTTACTTATTCCCTTGTTTGAGGTGGATGAATTTATGTGGTTATTTTTATTACATTTTTTCATAGCCCTACCAAGGTACAATTGACTCTACAGTTGAGAGGTTATTTGAAACTCTTTCTGTGCTTGACCTCTTCTTCTAACCTACATACTCAGCATGGAGTCATCCAGCTATATGACTTGAGAATGCAAGAGAACTTAATCTGGAAGAGTAGCACCTGCTTTGAGGTGTTTTGTCAGTTTAAAGAAAACTGGAAGCATGGGTTTATTCATTGAGGTTTAAGCTAATGAAAGCTTTTTTTGGTTTTGCTCAAAAGGTATTAATAATTTTATGTTGACAAGAAAAATACTATTTCTGTTCATTACTGCGTGTAATTACTTAGAGGGCTTATTCTCCAGGTTCCCCTTTACTCAATAGGAATGCTGCATCTGAGTAGGCCTGCATCTAACACCTGTCCAGAGAGCAAAAGCCTCACTGAGAACCAGATGGTGAAATTGCCTTCCAAAACCCATTATCCGAACCCTGTTGTGATGATGATCAGGTCATGGCATAAAACAAGTTTTACATGCTCATTTGAGAATCAGAGTTCTTTAAAACATAAAAAATCCATGCTGTCTGGGGAGCGGGTTGTGCACAGAATTAGTGCTTTGTCTTTATCATGCTACCTTCAGCCTCCTATTTTTTCCTTGGTTGTTGCTAAGATTTTGTAAAAGTTGTTTGTAGGTCTGTATCAAGCAGAACCACGTGAGTTTGGAAAAAAGAAAGGTCGTTAAAAGATGGTTGTAAAATCTTGCGTATGGTTACCTTAGCTACATCAATTGTAATAGTTTTCATTTGAAATTGCGTATTTTGCTAGAATAATAGAGTATTGTTTGTGAATTCTGAATATTAGCATATTTTAATTTTTACAGGTACAGATGCTGTAGCAAGCACCATTAAAAATGGAGGACCTTTTCCACGAGCCTGTCCGAAGTGCAATATTCATTTCAATCTTATGGATCCTCTAAAAAATCACATGAAGGTAAAATACTTTGGGTTCTTAAACATTATAGCAAACTTAATGTGGGTTTTGTTTGCTTATGGAAGAGTGCTATGTTTTTATATGAAGTTAGACTGGCTTCTGGCTAGTATCAGCCAGAGCCTAAATGCTCTATGTCTTGCAGTCATGGAGAGGAAGAAAGGAGTAGGGTGGCTATAAATCCTACAACTTTTTGCCTTATTTTTCCAATGAATTGAGGCATATTTGCTGTCTGTGTATGATTTCTGCCTGCCACAGCTGTGACTTTTTGAACTGTTGGCCAGCTTCCTGTGAATTGGATGAGGGTAAGTGCCTATGATAATAGGCAGCCAGTTGACCCACATATCTGTTAAATTGCTACTGAGACAAAGATAACAGTGTAAACCTACCTTTTTATTTTGTGAGTTACTATTCAAAATGTGTATTTGAATATGAATAAAGTCAATGTGTCAGAGAATTGAGCTTTGTATCTAAATCCAGTTAGTGAGTAGCTCTGGTTTTTAAAATGTTACTGTGATTGATGCAGTGTGGTAAGAAAGATTGATACCTTTGTTTCTTTTTCTTCTTCTCCCCACTTCCTCCAGTATTGTTGTCCAGATATGGTAAATAACTTTTTCCTGGGAGTGGCCAAAACAGAATGTTCGGGCGCAACAGGCAAGATTGCTGAGTCTGAGAAAGGAAAATTGATTATGTTAGTTAATGACTTTTATTATGGGAAACATGAAGGTGACACCCAGCAGGTACAACAGGAGCAGAAGACTCATACGACATTTAAGTGCTTCAGTTGTCTGAAAGTTCTTAAAAATAACATAAGGTATTTGAACTCACTTAATTGTTTGTTAATCACTTACAGCCCATAGTCTTGTGCATTGTTTCTCTGGAACAGATTATTTTTTTCTTGTTGAAAACTGGTAATAGTGAGTAGCTGAACAGAAATTGAATTAATCTTCACTATGCATGTATGGCCATAACAAACTTTTTCCAGATTAGAATTAGAAAATTTTATGGCATTTAACATAAACAGTAGAGTTTTAATGAGAGCAGTAGTAGGACTTTGGGGTTAGGAAGGGCAACACAGAGTATTTTACAATTTGCCATCTGGATTGATGGTGGTATCAGTAGATGCAAGTGTTAATTCCCTTTAGTGCTGCACAATGACTAATAGTTGGTGGTTTACTTATGTAACATCTGTTATTTTGATGGAATAATTTTACTTCCAAATGCTGCAAAAAAAGTCCAGTAAGCTGTTTTAATGGGTAGACATGTCCGTGTCATTGTTCCTGTGAAAGTTAAGGTCACTGAACCTTTATACGTGCATTCTTCAAGGGAAGCTGAAGTAGCAGAATGTAAAACTGAAAAATGGACTATTCCTTCAAAGGGCATTGTCTGCAATTTAAAATGAACAGGGTTTTGCTAACATTAGACCCATATTATTGAAAAAAAAAAAGTTTAATGTAATTAGAAACATTAAATTTGCTATTAATTGTTAAGGATTTATAAATCCTAAGTAAAAGTATTGCTAAATTGTCTTAAGCGGATTGAAATTGTTGTATGTTGCTAGACTTCAGGAGTTTACTCCTATGATTTTTATAGTTCTTGATAATTACGGCATTTCTTCCCTTGCAGTTTATCTTTTTAAGTGCACTAAACAACGTTTGATATGGGCATGTGTGTTCTACAGCAAGTAATTAAAAATGAGCACTTAATTTGTTTCTCAGAATTTCTGTAGGGCTGACATCAGCCATATCAATTTTTGCTCTAACTTTGTTGCTGTCTTCTCTAGTTCTCTAACTTTAGATTTTCTATTTCAAGGTGTATTTTACACCTTTAAGTATTTCTAGTGGACAAAATAAATATGTAGTATGTCTTCTAGTGGAAGTTTTATGGACCTTAATTCAGAAAAGCACAAAAATGATTTATCAGTTAATCACGTACTTTCTTTAAGAGATCTATGGCTGCACATACAGATCATGTTGAATGTATGTGAAATAATGTTCCATTAAGGTAATATGCAATACTAGTATCAGTTTCTTCTGCTTTTTTTCCCCCTTCTTTCTGTTTTAATCAACTGCGTGATATTAGAAGCCTGAGCTCGAGACTATTCTCCTTCCCCTCGCCCCCCCTCCCCCCATTCCAAGGTCACCACTTTAAGAACTACATTTCTTGTGTGAGTGTGACTGACATTTAATAGTTCCTCTGGCTGTACTGAAATGAAGCACATTGAAAATAGAACCATTTTTGAAGTTCAATGATAGTGCATTGTACAACTAACCTGTCCTGCTGCTGCTCCACCAGTAAGTGTGACCTGCCAGTGCCTAGGCTTCTCAGTCAGAATAGGATCCTGCTACAGATAGGTGGACATACTAATGAGGAAAAGGTGGTAACTGAAGTAGTAACATACTGTTAAGTTTCTCATAGTCTTTTGATTGTCGGCTGTACAGTGTCATTCTTCGATAACAGTCCTTCATAATTCAGTTCAGTCCTGAGTGCTTTATACAAAGAAAGCTCCTGAAAGCCTGCCAATTTTGAATGGAGGTAGTTTCAGATAAAGCTGTAATGTTCTAATTACAGATATGTTCTTGCTACTTTAATAGTTTTCAGCAGAGCTAAAGTTATACTTGTTTCAGAATGTGGCTTTGAGACACTGGTGGTGGTGAAGTGTGAACAGCTGACACATTTTGATTCTGCCTTTGCTAATTTCCCTTTATTTCAAGACAATTTGCAACTGTGAAAAACGCGATAGATTGCTTAATCTTGGAACATGTTTCAGATACATTGCATGTTTCTTGTAATAGTCACGACTTCTTTTTAAGCTTTGAAAGGTGATTTCTGTCAGTCAACTTGCTTAATTTGGTTACCTCTTTATTACTTTATGAACAGTTACTCCTTAGACTTTTTTTGAAATTGAGAAATCCTTCTGGAGTGAACTTCAGAAAAAGAATCCAGTACCTCTTGCATGGATGTATCATAGTGAATGTTAAAATGTAGGTTTTGCACCTGTTTTCACTATCATTTAAAGGTTTATGAACCACATGAAACATCACTTGGAACTTGAGAAACAAAGCAGTGAAAGCTGGGAAAGCCACACTACCTGCCAGCACTGTTACCGTCAGTTTCCCACACCGTTCCAGCTGCAGTGCCACATTGAAAGTACACACACCCCTTATGAATCATCTAGTAAGTTGCATTGTGTCACATTGAATCTTTCTGTGGTTTGAAACTTTAGGTATTTTCTGACTTTGCTGGTGTGTAACTTCAGAGTAAAGCTATTGTATTTTAAGAGTAAGAGTCTTGATTTAATATAGGAGCTGAGTATTCATTCAATTTATGTAAGAGCAGCGTGTGTGGGGAAAAAAGCCTTTAAAAGTTTTTTTTTTTTTTAATTATTTTTAATTGAAAGCTTGACTGCAAGTATTCACATTGTTTAAGGGTCTTGGACTCCTGGCTTTCTGAAATTGTACAAGGAATTTCTTCTGAACTATAGAATAATTGTTAGATTGTTTTACTTTTATAGATACTTGTACTTGATATATACATAGCATTAAAATTTATTTCCTTATGACCCCAAATTAATTTTTACTTGGTTTTCTTTCACTTTTCTAGCTATTTGTAAAATCTGTGAGTTATCCTTTGAAACAGAGCAAGTTCTTCTGCAACATATGAAGGACAATCACAAGCCAGGTGAAATGCCGTATGTTTGCCAGGTATCTTGAGTGACTGTTTTGTTTTTAGATTATACCCCCCCCATCTTTACTATTAATAAAATTTTAAAAAGAAAGTCAACTTTTTTATTTTAGGTTTGCAACTACAGATCCTCAGCTTTCTCAGATGTAGAAACACATTTTAGAACAGTTCATGAAAATACAAAACATTTGCTGTGTCCATTTTGTCTCAAAGTAATTAAAATTGGAGCACCATATATGCATCACTACATGAGACATCAGGTAAGCAGATATTTTAAACCTTTGATGGTAGAAAAATGCTAAATATGCATAATGAATGTGTCTCGGGGGGAAAACAGAGGTGTAACTGATTTGTGTAGTTGTTACTGGATATGAATAGTTAATAGAAAGTCTGTAAGAGAATTGTTAGACTTGCTTATGTTTGTGTATAACAGCAGCTTGTTAAGAAAAAAACAGCTGAATATTCTGAAAGTGTTTTTGCTATTTGGTTTCTTCATTAAATTGTAGTGATCTGTTATGCTTCTCTTGATGTTAATAGCAAACCTTTCACTGGTTCAAGTAGACAAATAGCTAATGAAGTCCCATGTCTTCTTGTAACTGATAAACTGATTCCTTGTCCTCATAGTAATGATACTGCCTTGTATTTTCATGTATTTAAATTATTATTAAATACTATTTAAGTAATAGTAATAAAATTAATACTATTAATATAATTCAAGTAATTGTAGAGAGGAGAAAAAATATCCTTTCTTCACTCACACACAGTATTTTGGCTTTGTGCAGTATCAGTTTTTCTGGTTGATGTTTTAGAAACTGGATGGCAGTTGCTTGAGACCAGCTAGGGTTGGAGTTTGTTTATCATGACATTCATGTTTTCTTTATGTCTTCTATTTATAAAAGAAAAAAGGAATATACCGTTGCACTAAGTGCAGACTGCAGTTTTTGACATGCAAAGAAAAAATGGATCACAAGACTCAGCATCACCGAACATTTAGGAAACCCAAACAGTTAGAAGGATTGCCTCCTGGAACAAAGGTAAAACTTCATACAGGAGACTTAGAAGGGACAAGGGGGGGAAAACCCCAAACAAATGGAAAACAAACCACATTTTAGTAGAGAAAGTCATGGAGTAAAAAAAAGGGCTTTTCTTCTTTCCTTTCTGAACCAAAGATTTCTTCTCCCCCCTCCCCCCCCTTTTTTTTTTTTGGTCACCTCCAAATCTAAAACTCTAAAAAACACTCCTGTTGCAAGAATTGCCAGGCACTGTTTACAGCTTCCTCTTGGTGGTCTGTAGTGTTGCTTTCTGTCCCATTTGTCTATACATGGATAGTAGTCCAGTCAGTGCTACTTTCTTGAGCTGTTGGTTCATTTGCCTCCCTCTCACTTAGTGTTTCTTGTGCTAGGAGCAAAGGAGGTAGTCTGGGTGTGATCTGAGGGGTCTGCAGCATTTCTTGTAGCATATATTTCAATCTATGGAAGGTCGTGGCAAAAAATCTATATATAGAGTGCAACACCTACTTAGCTATAAACAATATTGCTTAAAATCTGAGTTCACCAGGTCTTTTCTAGCTCTAGCATTTGAAGGGTAAAAAAAAAACACACGATGATTTTTTGTTAAGCGTTTCGTGAAGTCAATTTGGGTCCCCTCAGAATGCTTAGGTAATCTTTAAATCCTTCTTCCATTTCTCAAGAAGGAACCACTTACACTAGGATTTTCCTGTAGATTTCAGGACTTTTTTCCTACAGTTTTCTAATGAAATGTGAAGATATATATCCTTTCCCTTGAGTGGAAGAAGAAAATTACATACACTAGCTCTTGACAGTTCATTTCCTATAGAATCAGGAAGAGGAAATTAATGAAGTTGATGGTAGTTGTGTTGCTTGGCCTAATGTAAAGTACTGACAGTATCTCAGCCTTTTAAAGATTTCAGGGTCTTCATGATCTAAGAAAACCTTAGATTATTTATAAAATTTTAGTGTTAGTAGACACCTGGAACCAGGTTTAGAAGATGAGGTCCTTCTAAACTATGAGTATGGGCAAGAATTAGCCCTTGGGGCTCTAGGATGAGGAGCAAAAATTATCTGAAGGAAGTAAAAAAGCTAATGATGAGGCAGCAAGACACAGGGCTTTTATTAAAGCGGGTCAAAGTACTGCATACAGTTCCGGTGTCCCCAAAATACAAAGGACATGGAACTGTTGGAGCAAGTCCAGTGGGGGGCTACAAGGATGATAAGGGGGTTGGAGCACCTCTCACACAAAGACAGTCTAAGAAAGTTGGGGCTGTTCAGCCTGGAGAAGAGAAGTTGCATAGAAACCTTATTAGCAGCCTTACACTATCTAAATGGGACCTACAGAGGGCCTCTTCATCAGGGACAAGGCATGGGGTAATAGCTCAAACTTAAACAGGGGAGATTTAGATTAGATATATGGAAGAGATTATTTATTGTGAGAGTGGTGAGGCACTGGCACAGGCTGCCCAAGGAGGCAGTGGCTGCTGTATCTCTGGAAGTGTTCAAGCCCAGGGTGTACAGGGCTTTGAGCAACTTGGTCTAGTGGGAGGTGTCTCTGTCCATGGCAGAGGAGTTGGAACTAGATGATCTCAAGGTCCTTTCCTACCCAAATCATTCTAATTGCGGCACTGACAGAACTGTTTGGTACTCTTCCTAGTAGGACTGATTGGGCTGATTTCTCTTTCTTTTCCCCAGCTACATTATTTTTTTGTTTGTCTTGAAAAAGCAGGATGTAGCCAGTTGCAGGTCTGAAAAGAGAGAAGTGTGTGTTGCCATGGCTATCTCCACCAAAACAAGAGCTTTTAAAGCATCCAGTAGACTACTGAGGCTAGGTTTATTCTAGTCAACAGCATTTCATTATTCTCAAAGCAGTCTTCACGGTGGAGCGTATCTTACGCCTGAAGAGCGTATCTTTTTGCCTGAAGTGGCTTAAACATTGAGACAAGTAGAAATGGGAACTTGGCTTAAATCTAAATAGAAAATGTTTTAATTTCATAATTGTAGGTGACTATTCGAGCATCTCTTGGATCTCTTCTATCAGGATCATCAGCTACGTCTTCTGTTAGTACAAGTTCTTCCACATTTCAGTTATCACCTAAAGCTAAAAATACCACTAAAAATCATAACAAATCTAATACAAATAGGTCAAAAGCAAAATCAAAACCAGCTACATCAAAGAAGCAAAATACATGGACCAACAGCAGAAAAAAAAAAGAAGTTGCAAATACAGCATTGCATAATCTAAGGTAATATATTGGCATTAAAAATATTTTTATACTTTGAATATAAATAATCCATCACAATGTCTCTTCCGATAACTTCTAATTGATAACTTATACTGCAGTAGAGAAGATTAGTTTTGTAGAAAAAGCTACTAGTACTGTTATTATAATTCTGAATCTTCATTCACCAGTTCTGTTGGTGATAGGCTACTTTCTGCTGCAAAGACATATGTTCTGGAAACTTTCCTGTCCTAAATTTAGATAATTTTTTTTCCGCACAGAGCGTTGAAATACTGACTCATGAGTTAGATTTATGTTTAAAAGTGACCTGAGGATGGGAATACATCTGCCTGCCTGGGTGTTCTTTGCAAGTTTTCTGATGGAGGGAAAAGTATTCCCCTCCTTCAATTTTTTTAAGGGGTTTATTTGAACATGTTATTTGAAAGGTCTTGCCTGTCCTAGGAGATACCTTAATGTTATTGGGAATGCTGTCTTTATGTTTACAATTTATTGGGTTTTGTTATCCTTGTGTTAATAAGTTAATGGGTGTTTTATAGATTAGAATATAACTGCATTGGCTAAGATGAGTTAACAGTTTTCTTTGTCAAAGATTGTAAATGTCTGACTTCCAGTAAGGTGCTGATGTTCCCAGTTCATAGCTCTCCAAGACATCCAGAACTGGGGAAGAGCAGGATTACATTCTTGCCTTATAGATATTTCAGAGCAAAGTGGAGAATATCAGGGGTGACAGGAAAACCAACAGCTTTTTCTTCTGTGCGTTTTAGTGGATGAAGCATTTCTTTGAAGTCCTTCTCAAGTACATAGACAAGAGCAGCAGCTGAAGTTGGAGGTTCCTATCTACTGCAGTATCTTCTTGGCCAGGAGTTGCCAGTAACAGATGCTTATATTAATTTTCACTTTTTTTTTATTAAGTTGAGAATGACAGCATAACTTGAAGAAAAAGGGAAACAAAAAGTTTTTGTTATGTGTGCTATGGTGACCTTTAAGTATTGCATTTTTAAATTCTTCAAGTAGGAAGTAGACAAGCTTGCTACTAACTTAAAGCAGTAAGTTTGGAATAGTTATCTTGTCTTAAAATGTTGATGTTAATAGTTAACTTTTTTCATATTACTATTAGGTATCTTTCAGGAGTTCACAAATGCATTGAATGTTACTCAGAAGTAAAAGATTTTGCAAGCCATTTTCCTGCTTATGTCCACTGTAGCTTATGCAGATACAACACTAGCTGTAGCAAAGCCTATGTGAATCACATGATGAGGTAAGAACTCTTCAAAAATTGATTGGGTTGTCAAATACTTCATAAATTCATATAAGGTTTCTTAAGTGTTTCTGTTAGCTGAATTTTGAACTGGATCATAGGACTGGTAGGGAGATGTGTAAAGTTGAAATTTTGCTTTATAATGAGGGCCTAAACACAATGTTCTTGTTTTGCCTGAAAATTCCAGTGGTTCAGGAAGTGTTCTGTCTTTGCTTCAGTTTCGAGATCTTCCATAATGATTTCAGCCAGACTTAGCAAATAGTGACTAATTGTTGCAAGTTCCCTGGGATTCAGATGGAATGCCTTATCTGATTTTACAAGCGTTGAATGCATACAGCCACAGATACTGCTAATGAAATCTGTGCACAGACTACCATGTAAAGGATGTCTCAAATAGCATGCTAAAGTGGATACCTTTTCTTAGACTACGTCTGGTCAACTGTTAAAATAACATCTCATTTTGCAGGAGTTTTGTCACTGATTGTAAGGCAGTGTGGGGTTTTAGTGATGACAGCTCTGAAAAGCCTCTTAAGAAAATAAATGTGTTTGTTTTCAGAGCAATAGAATTATACTATTCAATAATTAACACATAGCAGTGACAGTAAAACAGAACTTTGAAAACAAAACATACTTCTTTATCTTGTGCCCTAAACAAGCCAAATATATTGCATAAAAATATAGAACGCAGTTGTCTTTTTATATATATGTATGTATAAAATGCCTTGGTATTTTTGAATGCTAGAATTCTTGAATTTATGACCCAAGTCTTTACAAGTTTTTGAATGCATTGTATGTTGGCTTATTCAAAGTAATTTCAATGCTTATGTAAGTCCTAACCTGAAATATGATTTTATGGATATAAAACCATTGGTTGCGTGCTTAAAAAAAAACAGTTAATGTGCTTAATTCTGGTTGTATGAGATGTTTACTCCCGAAAAAGGGGGAGAAATCTAAGGTAAACTGTTCCTACTGTTGTCCATGTTCTGGGTTTTGTAAAATTCCACCGTGCAATAAAATAAGCAGTCTTTTGTCTTTGTCTCCTTGAGAAACTAATGTTCCTCCTGCTTTGACCCCCTGCAGCATCTATCATAATCTTTTTTGGTGAGTGTAAGGAACAAGGGATGGTGAGGAGGAAGGCTGTTAAAGGAAGGGTGTTTTTGCAGTAGCAGCCCCTGTACTCAGCTGCTTGCTTTTTTGTTTCATATGGGAATACAGTGTTGGCATATAGTTAACATGTATAAGAGAACTTGGAGGTTTTCTAAAAATTTCATTTATCTCATTTTAAGCCATTTCTTTATGAAGTGTGAATTCAGCAAAGCTTCACTTTTGTGGAGCAGTGTATAGCTATAGCCATGGTACTTCAAGAGCTAAACAGCTGATGGAAGCAATGTAACTATGTTCTTGCAGGACTGTGCTGACAAAGTTAAGCCTTGTTCCTGTTATTTATAAGAGAGTCAACATTCTAAACTAGAATTGATACTCACAATTCTGTAAGCTTTCAGCAATCTAATGTTTTAGGAGGTCAGTAGCCAATCTTTCTGTTTTCATGCCTTGTCATAATTAATGTACAGTGTAGGGAATAATGTACTTAAGAAAACCAGTCTTAAGTGTTAATGTTTTCATGTATTCAGTTTTCACAGTGCTCGTCCAAGTAAAAGATTTTGGATCTATAAGAAGCATTCAGAAGAGCTACGGTAATTCAGCTTTTTTTAGTTACATGTCATTGTGGTTTTACTTTCTGATAATGAACTGATCTGTTAAATGAGATTAGAGCCTATTGAATTTTGGGGCTTCCACGATTTAGGAAGAACAAGGAAATAAAAACTTACGCTCTTCCACTATCAGTATTCTGGTCAGTGACAGCTATTTGTTACTTATCCACATTTAGCAACTTCTGAGCAGTTTTAAAAAATATTTGTTTCGTTATGTTCTGGTTTTTCCTAATATGCACAATGGGGAGGGGGCAAGGGAAACAAAAGAATGAACAAACAATACCCACCAAACCCAAGAAACTCATTCTTCACAGATAAAATTTGTAAAGTGTTCTCTGTGCTATGTCCAGCATGGAGATGCCCTGGTCATTCATAGGGGTTACCAGGTGCTAGCTGGAGTATGAAAAGTAAGAACATGTTCTTGTGAGTAATCTTATCTAAAGGTAGATGAAATTTTATTTTGTTTTTCTTATAGCCTGTCCAGTTGCCATAAGTTAAGAAAACTGTTTCCACAGCTGTGTTGTATTTATACTTCCTTTTCACTTTCTGTTCTCTAGAGGTGTGACTGTAGTGTGTCTTAACTGTGATTTCCTGACTGATGTTTCTGGCTTAGACAGCATGGCCACACATCTGAGTGAAAGCCACACTCATACTTGTCAAGTTGTTATAGAGAAAGGTGAGTACATACAGTGTCTTTTTTATATTGTATATGTATACATCTGTGTGCATGTTTTGGTGTTACTGCAGCTCTTTTTTCAGTTGCATTATTGCTATTTCTGTGTACTTGGATTTAAAAGTTCCAAATTTTTAAATATTTTTAATAAAATCTTTTGTTTTTATTTTCAGTTTCTGTAGATATCCCAACTGCTGAACAAGTATCTGAGTAAGTTCTGTTTTACTGCTCAGTGTTTGTTTCTATTACTTTAGTGACAGATGGCCAAAATTTGTACTTTAAACCTGGACTTTTTTTTTTTCATAGAATTCTGAATGTATGATAAACATAGACCTTTACTAGTACTTACTGCTCTTGTCATGTCCACAGTTACAAGAATGAGGAGAGAAAATGATTCCTGCAGCCAAAATCGAAAGCAGGTTTTTGTTCAGTTTGGCCAAAGAGACAAATGGTTCTTGAAGTATTAACATTTTTCAATTGCTGCTTCTAAGCTACCCTTAGAAGTGAGACTGCATAGTGAGACTGTTAATTCAACTTGCTTTCAATACCGGCGTTAGTATTTAGTTCTAAATGAGTGTTTTATGTTCTCACATAATTAATAAGAATACAAAAATGTGACTTTATTGAAGTGGGACAAATTCTCAATCTGTTGTAAATATTAAGAAAATATTTTCAAAACTGTTACCAATACGACACAGGAATACTGTTTTGTACTAACATTTTTAATTCCACTTTCAAAGAAAAAAATAGAAGGATTTTGGCTTTCAGTTTTGTTAAGGATTTGAAAAACAAACCTATAGAATTCTGGAGATTGTTGTAGAGTTCGCTTGGGATTGTTTTAACCATAGAAGAATCAGACATGCCAAGCCATCCCTGATTACCCTGGAACGGTACCCGAGGCTTTACAATGTCGTTTGTGAACCTACTTATCCCTTAATTGAAGGGTCAGAGGTGCATCAGTTGAATCAAACATTTGAGTTCTTGATAAACCATTTCAGGACACAGGAACATAAAGGTCAGTTAGACTGCAAAGAAATATGTTTTAAAAGATGGAAGAAAGTAGTTTAACCCTGAGTCAATAAAGTGTCATTTGAGTCCATCTAGCCGATAGCAGGATTTTAAAAGGAGTTAGATACTCATTCATGATGAGAACTCTTTCAACAGTTCTTAGGCCTGTAAGCATAAATCAGCCTTCACTGAGTGCTGGAAATATCCCCAATAGATTATTACATAACTATGAAGTATTTTCTTCCGTAATTTCCATAAAGTGGCCAGTAAGAGGGGGTACTGGATTAATGTCATCTGACCTAAACATAGAAATGCTTTTCTTTGCCTATGAATAATAGCATCAGATAGAGTTGAATAAAGAACTCTGTTCATTAATAGTTTAGATTTTAGTGAAAGTCAAACAGTGGGAAAATAAAGTTTTGAGCTGTGATAACTGTGAAAACCTTACCTTTTCTACTTGGAGCTGGCACTAGGTGTTGGGAATTAGTACTTGCTGAACTGTATGTAAGAAAAGGTTATAGCTTTTATAGTATTTAATGGTGGGCAAAGAGGTACAGTTGTGGCAGGCTGTTGTCAGTACTGCATCCGCGTCTTGCTGTCTTGAGTATATTACAGAGATGTCAAGCATGTTGGATTACAAAGTAAGTATTACTTAGAAATGGATGGGTGGAGTCAAGAATATGTGCACTTTTCATTCTGCAGGCTGCTAGTACAGATGTAGTTAGCCATTGTTTTTGAGAGCTCTGATGTTGGCATAAGGTTAGTTACTGGTACTACATGAGATGATACATGATGGTGCTTTTTGAAACGGTCACGCTCTCAGACTTAATTAATTTCAGTAGATCTTGTCCTGTTCCATTTACTAATTTTCTAATAATTTGGACAAGAATATATCATTGCTAAACCTAAAAGCATTGGGTATACCTGTGTAGCAGATATTTTAAAAATCATTATTTGCAGTACAAAGTACACACAGAAATGCACATCTTTTTTCGGGATGGTTCTTCATAGTACTCTGGTTTGCTTTGAAAGAAGAGGAACTTGCAGACAGTATTCGTAACTTGTGCTGTGTAGTTTCTCCATGATCTGTGAACATTTCTTTCTGTTCTTTGACCTATAACTCAATGAGGTATGACTTGTTCATGGGGCTCTTTAGAATTACTTCATCATCAGAAGCAATGACTTAACAGTCTTGAAAACTTTTGGATCTTCTCTTGCATCTCTCAGATGGTATCTTTTGGTATCTTTTACTATATATCAGACTGTATGTGTTGTAAAACTCCTCTTTATTGCTAATAACCAGACATGTTCTACGAGTGCTGTGCAGTGTTGATGCAACTGTCTTCGGATCACGGTCCTGCCATGAATAATACAGATAACCTAACTGGAGATGTTCCAGCAGGAATTGTTATTTAAGTTGTTACTCTGCATAAAGTTGCCTTGTTTGTTTAGTGATCCACCTTGTGCTGAGGGATTAAAGCTTAATAACTATGCCAATATTCTTCTAATGCTCAACTCTCTGCTTTGCGCAACAATTAACATTTTTAAATGAACTGACAGCAGACATTTTTGTTGCAGGGGAGTTGAAAGTGAGCAGGTGTCCTATACTGCCTTGGCTCACTGATACATCATTGTGGACCAGAAAATTGAACACAGTCCAGCTTGGGATTATTTTGGTATGTAAGCGAACAAGGATCTGACCAGACCTTTTCCTTTTTCTTCATGCATTGAAGCTGTGGTATTCTCTTCTTGCATCTTGTAGGCAGCAGGTCTGGTCTTTTCTCCCATATTATAGTCTGGCAAAGGCCCTTCTGTGTTAATATTCTCTGCTTTGCAGCATTGACTTGCAGCTTTTTGGGGGCTGTACACCTTTGAAGAGAGGCTTACCAGGAGTTTCACTTATGTGATACAGTGTTTCTTTGCTGCTCATTTGCAGTGTTTCCTTGCTGCTCAAGTCTGTTGTTACCATCCCCAGCTAGAGTAGTGTGTAAATGATAACGTGTATGTGTTGACATCAAAGACCATTTTGTTCTGAACTTGATCTTAGCTTCTGAAACTAATGAGCTTTATCATTCTCTTGGGTGTTCACTAAAGCATACAAGTCCTGATCTATTATTCAAGTAAGTTGCATTTTTGTCTGCCAATGACTTTACATATGTAGTGGCAAAATATACTTTGAATGACTTCTGTCGCATGTAACTGCATAAACTGAATCTTGGCCAAAGGATTTTATTAGCTGCTTTGCTCTGGTAGTTAAGCTTCTTTTTGCTCCTAAATACTGTAGGAGGCAAGTATATGACGGAGGCAGATACATCTATTGAGCCTTGTTTCTGAGGGTGGAGCAGCTACAGTTCATTCACACCTTGTTCTTTTGGTATCATCTCTCATCTTCAAGGATACTCAAGCTGCTGAGACATCTGCTGCTTTTGATTTCACTGCTTCTGACTTCATCTTTAGTTCTAGATTATCTATGGCAAGTTTATCCATCAGCAGGTTGTCTGGATATATGATGAGCTTTCCTTTTGTCATGATGAACATCTAGTGTTCCTCCAAACTCAACCTCCTGATTACAGTGAATATATGTCTTGGTTGAATCTCTCATATACTAGCTTCCAAGCAACCTAGTAGGTAGAGCTAATCTTAGTCTGAGATCAGTCACTGTTATAACCTCCTAGTTATAAGAGGTTATTTTTGATGAATGCAAGCTGTTCTTGATTTGCAGCACTTTCTGCATAATCAGATTCTCTGAGATTAATCCGTTTTTATCACTATTTTTGTCCTCTTCACTTTTAGTATTCAAACAGTAACAGTTTTGGTTACAGTGAGCTTCTGCAATCACTGTGAAATTGCTAATAATGGCAAGGATCCTGTCATCCATTGTCTTATGCGTATTTTGTGATGGAGCATCTGCACGCTTACTTGGTACTCTGAAGTCTTGTTCTTTTTGCTATTTTATTTTTTTTCCTTCTGACAGAAGCTATGTCCCATCTTGAATGCTGCTGTTCAATCATCAGTTACAGGTTTTTCTTGCAGGACTTATTTCTGTTTTGACACAGCAGCATTCAAAAAAAGCATAGTGGGTTTGTGTTTTCATTGTGAATGTGCTGTTGCATTTCAGAGGAAGTTGGATCTGAGATATTTCACTTAAATTCATGTTCTGGCAACAACAAAACTGGAATATGTTTACAGATTTTTAACTTTTCAGAAATATTCTCTAAGAATCTCCCAGAAACTACATTAGATTGGCACTTTGATTTGAAGCTAAGTGAATGATACCTCTTTTGAATGCTCATTTTAGATATTATCAACTGGTTCTTTTACAGCTTTGCAACACATTTATTTATTTATTTATTTCAGTTTCAGACTTGCAGTTAAAACATTTGTAAGCTGTGTACAGATTTGTCAGCTTTGTGTAAATAGTTCATGTAGAAACTATTGGCATCGTGGTGTCCTGTTCCCATTTTTTGAGGATCTCGGAAGTGTTACTCATGTGGAAAACTCATAACATAAAACCTGTGCTAAACCATGCAAGTAAAAATGCGTGTCTTGACATAAAGTATCCCTGATGGTCCCAACAACTACAAAATTGCCTGAATAATGAAACATATTGGATTGTATCTGCAAGGAAAGAGCATGAATATGCAAAATATAACCCGTTTAGCTTATGCTCAAACAATTGAGATTCCATTTATACTTACTTTAACCTATCTTTTCTTTGTTATTTTTAGGATGTTGAGTGTCACTGGAATTTGGGTTCTTAAAAGACATGCAGTTGCAGAGCAACCTTACTTGATTAGCAAATTATTTATTAACTTTGTTTGGAAAGTCTTTTGTCTTCTCAATTGACCGGACAAGAAAGGAAATGTTGGTTTCTATTATGCTGTTAAATATTTGTAACCATGCATCTTTTTGTGTAACAACACTTCACTACTCCTTATAATACTAGGAAGTTGTTATGTAGCTGTCTTCATTACTAGCCATCTTTCTTTTCCCATTCAGTCATTAACAGTGTAAAATACCATAGTGTAGAAGCAGCTTTTTCTCTCTGTGAATTCACATATAGAGTAAGTGCTCATACGATCTGATGTCTGGGGGAGATTTGTGCTTTATGAATCATTACCTCTACTTAGAGTTCTATTTTTCAAAATGGGGAATTCCTACTGAAAGCTGGAGTTCCCTTAAAACACATAAAATCAACCAAC